ATATATCCAGGTTTACACAAGTGCGATATAGAAAAATTCATGTCAACCACCAGGAGAGCGATACGCCCCCACCAACCCCCCCATCAAAAAAACAGGTTACTTACAGTACACTTTTATCCACATTTACAGTACTTGCAGGCCAAGCTGTCTCGTTAGACTTGGCATCAGAAATCTGTGTTGCAATATAGACTAGATAGTAGACAAGAACACCCACAGCACCTTCAGATACTCTGAGAAATTGGAAGGCTCTTTGAAGATTGAAGGACAGTGTCCAAAGCCATCTAGAAATGTTCTGCGGTAGTACATCTCAAAAATATCAGTACAACATGTCTGTTTTTGTAACATGCTGTCTAAGAAGTCATTTCCTGATTCCAAGTGTCTGTTTCTTTCTGCAATGTTATTTCCCCAAATAAAGTTCATGTACTCTAATGTTTGTCTTTTGGTTTGCCCTAAGTATTTTTTTTTTTCCTTTCACTATGTAACCTGTAAAACTTGTTCTGCTTTTTATGAACAGCGCAGAGTGGTTTGAGAAATTTCCACATGATGACATTGGCTATTTAGAAAATGATTTATGATAAGGCTACAGCTATGATTATCCACCAGATCAAAACCACAGAGGCGTCATTTTTAAAATAATAGCATAAATCTAAATCATAAATCTAGCATAAATAAATAATTATATATATGTATAATAACAAATATTAAACAAAAAATAATTCTATAATTGTAATCAATACATAATAAATAAATGAATAAGTATACAAATATAATAGTTATAGCAAAAATAACAAATAAAATAATAAATAAAAGCTAAAATCCAGCTAAACACACAGATACAATACAAACATCACAGCTGTTTGATTTTTCAAAGGAATTTTGTTTCAGTCCATCCAGTCCTGACATATACACTGCTCTGCCACTCAGCACAACCCTGGCTGGAAGGACTGGAAGCCTGATTTTTCTCTGCTGCAGGCTTTGGCCTCTTTTAGACTTGCAGTGGACTTTACTGCAGCTCTGAAAACGGTCTGCAGAGATCCCTTTTCAGAGGTGACTGAGCGTTGGTTTGCTGGTGTTTCGGTGGTGATATTGCTGCACTCAGAATGTCTTTTTTTTTTTATCCCTAAAGGGGATTTTACATTGAAATACTACGGCACAACATCTTGTGGCTGGTCCCATTGACTTCAACAGGTGCACTTGGCAGGCGTTACTACTTGCCAAATATGACAATCCAAACTTCGCAGTCGCAGCAATGTAAATAGACCTGGATGGATGCCTTGTTAATTTTTAGGTAGGCGGTGGGGGAGGAGACATTAGGAAGGTGGCTGAATGCCTGGTTTTTACTGCCCTTTTGTTACTTTTGCGAACTTCACCTTATAGGTCTTGTCCACCCCCACCCCCCGCCCCAGCCTGTGATTGGACAGTGAAATGAGAAGCAGCAGACTGATCGGTTCATCTCTCCGTCACTCTGCCCTCTCCTTCCATCAGCATGATCCTTGTTAGCATATGAGCACTGTAGTAGAATGGATTGGCTTCTCATGCCATTTCCAAACTCAACAGTAAATTTGCTTTAAAACAAGCCCCCACTGGCCTCTGTAGCTGCACACACTGTGGAGAAATTTATTCTAAAAATTCACAGCAAAAGAACTCTTATTTTTCAAGTTGGCTCTCAGCAGCTCTGCTCCCCCTACTCACTCTCCCAGCAGTGACTCAGCAATGAGCATCCCCTGCACTACTCCTACTAGCATTTAGGGAGAATTTCAGTGCCCCCCCCCCCCCTTGCAGCTGTGACTCAGTCGCTCAGCTCCCCCTGCTCCCCACTCTCTCTGCTCTCTCCTCTCACCTGCAAGATCCTGGTTAGCATATAAACACTGCAGAATATCTGATTGGCTTCTCATGCTGCTCCCAAATTCAGCAGCTGGCTCAGCAGCTCAGCTCTGCCTGCTCCTTCCTACCATCTGCAAGTTCCTAGTTAGCATTTCAGCACTGCAACACACCTGATTGGCTACTTGTGCTGCTTCCAAACTCATCAACTCAGCTTCTCTCTCCCAGCAGTAATTCATTAGCTGACCTTCCCCCTCCCAGCAGTGACTCAGCAGGTCAGCCCCCCCTCCCAGCAGTGACTCAGCAGGTCAGCTCCTCCTCCCAGCAGTGACTCAGCAGGTCAGCTCCCCCTCCCAGAAGTGACTCAGCAAGTCAGCTCCCCCTTCCAAAAGTGACTCAGCAAGTCAGCTCCCCTTCTCAGCAGTGACTAAGCAGCTTAGCTTTCCCCTCCCAGCAATGACTCAGCAGCTCAGCTCTCCCTGCTCCCTCCTCTTTCTGCTCTCTCCTCTCATCAACAAGTTCCTGGTTAGCAAATAAGCACTGCAGAACATTTGATTGGCTTCTCATGCTGCTCCCAAACTCAGAAGCTCAGCTTCCTCCTCCCACAAGTGACTCAGCAGCTCTGCCTTGCCTGCTCCCTCCTCCCATCTGCAAGTTCCTGGTTAGAATATACGCACTGCAGGACACCCGATTGGCTACTTGTGTTGCTTCCAAACGCATCAGCTCAGCTTCCCTCTCCCAGCAGTGACTCAGCAGGTCAGCTCCCCCTCCTGGCAGTGACTCAGCAGCTCAGCTCCCCTTCCCAGCAGTGACTCAGCAGGTCAGCTCCCCTTCCCAGCAGTGACTCAGCAGGTCAGTTACCACTTTCAGCAGTGACTCAGCAGGTCAGCTCCCCTTCCCAGCAGTGACTCAGCAGCTCAGCTCCCCTTCCCAGCAGTGACTCAGCAGGTCAGTTCCCCTTCCCAGCAGTGACTAAGCAGCTCAGCTCCCCTTCCCAGCAGTGACTCAGCAGGTCAGTTCCCCTTCCCAGCAGTGACTAAGCAGCTCAGCTCCCCTTCCCAGAAGTGACTCAGCAGGTCAGTTCCCCTTCCCAGCAGTGACTCAGCAGGTCAGTTCCCCTTCCCAGCAATGACTCAGCAGCTCAGCTCCCTCTCCCGGCAGTGTCTCAGCAGTTCAGCTCCCCTTCCCAGCAATGACTCAGCAGCTCAGCTCCCTTTCCCAGCAGTGACTCAGCAACTCAGCTCCCCTATTGGCTACTTTTGCTGCTTCCAAACTCATTAACTCAGCTTCCCTCTCCCAGCAATGACTCAGCAGGTCAACTCCCCTCCCAGCAGTGACTCAGCAGGTCAGCTCCCCCTCTCAGCAGTGAATAAGCAGCTCAGCTTCCCGCTCCCAGCAATGACTCAGCAGGTCAGCTCCCCTTCCCAGCAGTGACTCAGCAGGTCAGTTCCCCTTCCCAACAGTGACTCAGCATCTCAGCTCCCCTTCCCAGAAGTGACTCAGCAGGTCAGCTCCCCTCTCAGCAGTGACTAAGCAGCTCAGCTTCTCACTCCCAGCAATGACTCAGCAAGTCAGTTCCCCTTCCCAGCAGTGACTCAGCAGGTCCGCTCCCCTTCCCAGCAGTGACGCAGCAGGTCAGCTCCCCTTCCCAGCAGTGACTCAGCAGGTCAGCTCCCCCTTCCAGCAATGACTCAGCAGGTCAGCTCCCCCTCCCAGCAATGACTCAGCAGGTCAGCTCCCCTTCCCAGCAGTGACTCAGAAGGTCAGCTCCCCCTCCCAGCAATGACTCAGCAGGTCAGCTCCCCCTCCCAGCAATGACTCAGCAGGTCAGCTCCCGTTCCCAGCAGTGACTCAGCAGGTCAGCTCCCCTTCCCAGCAGTGACTCAGCAGGTCAGCTCCCCTTCCCAGCAGTGACTCAGCAGGTCATCCCCCCCTGCCCCTCTCCTTACATCAGCATGTTCCTGGTTAGTAAATAAGCAATGCAGCACACCTGATTGGCTCCCTGTGCTGCTTCCACTCTCCTAGTATAAGCTTTGCTGTACAATGACTCTAAGAGAATACCAGGTCATACTCATGAACTACCATGGTTTTCAATAAGACCGTTCTTCTTAAACTATTGGTGCATAAAGAAAAAAAAAACTGATAAACCAGCACCATGCGGGGAGCAGCCGTTCTATTGCTGAATTAAATACAAACAGGTTCGGGCGAGCACATCACAACTGCCAGTTAATGTGTTCTTCGGTCACATAGCAACGGGGGACGGCTCTCGGCTCCACATTGTCACAATGAGGGAGAACCGAGGCAGCCGTGGGATTGTGGGGCGGCATTAGGCGGTACACTGGGCTAACATTCCGGCACTTGGGACCCAAGCCATTGATCCATTAATGTGCATTGACATGGCCGGAATGCTTATCCATTCCATTGAAAGGCTCTCTAGGATAAATGGAGTATTTAAAGTTTTCCTGCATGATTCGGAGGTGTTTGGGCGTGCAGCAAAAAAGGGGTCATGGGCAGCGTAAGTAACATTTAAATGTGGGCACGTCGTATATTTAGCTCACGAACATTTGTTGGCTTTGGAAAGCAATGTGGGCGATACTGAAAACTGACCCGCGCGCTCCTTAATATTATGTATATATTACCTCTTATTGGATTAGCAGGATAACTAATCGTAACTTGATCATTAGAGCACCAGGCTATGACCTATAAACTCGCAGTAAGAAGTATTACACTAAACTTAAGAGCTTATTTGATAAAAGTAGTGAAATACTAGTATTCAATTAGTGCTCAGTGTGGGAACACATTTCTTGTAAGGACATCTGTTAGATTTTAGTGTGGGGGGGGGGGGAGTTAAATAAGTACGCTTCCATTAACAAATGCACAATGCTGGAAGATGTAAATAGTGCCAAACAGCTGTAATTAGCTAACAATAAGTAAAGAGTCTATGGAAAAAAAATGTGTCTACATAAGCTGTAAATTTGCTTTAAAACAAGCTCTCACTGGCCTCTGTAGCTGCAGACACTGTGGAGAAATTCATCCTCAAACTGTGTCTGCATAAGCTGTATATTTGCTTTAAAACAGGCCCTCACTGTCCTATGTAGCTGCAGACACTGTGCAGCAATTCATCCTCAAAATTGACAGAAGCGCTGATGTTATTTAAAGTGTTCCTAAACCCTGGACCCTGCACTCACTATATATGGTCTCCCGGACCCTCTCAATCCCTATATCTGGTCTCCCCGGACCCTGCATTCACTATATATGGTCTCCCCGGACCCTGCATTCCCTATATCTGGTCTCCCCGGACCCTGCAATCACTATATATGGTCTTCCCGGACCCTGCATTCACTATATCTGGTCTCCCTGGACCCTGCGTTCACTATATATGGTCTTCCCGGACCCTGCATTCACTATATCTGGTCTCCCCCGGACCCTGCGTTCACTATATATGGTCTCCCAGGACCCTGCATTCCCTATATCTGGTCTCCCCCAGACCCTGCATTCCCTATATCTGGTCTTCCTGGACCCTGCATTCACGAGATCTGGTCTCCCCCCCCAGACCCTGCATTCACTATATACGGTCTCCCAGGACCCTGAATTTACTATATCTGGTCTCCCCCGGACCCTGCATTCACTATATATGGTCTCCCCGGACCCTGCATTCACTATATATGGTCTCCTCGAGACCCTGCATTCCCTATATCTGGTCTTGCCGGACCCTGCATTCACGATATCTGGTCTCCCCCAGGACCCTGCATTCACTATATATGGTCTCCCCGGACCCCACATTCCCTATATCTGGTCTCCCCCAGACCCTGCATTCACTATATCTGGTCTCCCCGGACCCTGCATTCACTATATCTGGTCTCCCCCGGACCTGCATTCACTATATCTGGTCTCCTACAGTACACAGAACATGGAAATGCAATAATTTTAGAAAATATAAACTGATAAATACCTTTTCTCAGTTTTAGCAGTCTTGTAACTTCTATCAGTATCCTGCTGAGCACTGGTTAAAGCTTGCAGGAGGAGTTTTCATTCTGCTCTGACTGTCCTATGAGGCTGCATGAACCCTGACCATCAGTCTGGGCGGTGCTGGTTTGGCACCCTCCCAAAGAGAAAAAACTGAGCATGTGCAGAGTGACTCCTAGAACTCTGTACTATCAGAAGATGGATTAGGGACAGCAGAGGAAGGGGAGGAGAAGAGGAGACAGGATCAAACAGCCTTTATCCACAATGTGGAGGATTAACCCCTTAGGTTCCACAGTGAGTATAACAAGCATGCTTTACTGCATATACAGACTGATTTCACTGTTGTGGGTTTAGTAACACTTTAAGTTGTCTTTCTCAGCATTTCTGTAAGCAGTGACTCAACAACTCAGCATTGATTGCACTATTCCTACCAACAGTGACTCAATCTCACTGCCCCGTGCTCCAGCTCCTGTTGCTCGCCCACCTCTTCAGATGTGACTCAGCAGCTCCGCTTCTCCTGATTCCTCCCAGCAGTTTTTTAGCAACTCAGCTTCTCCTGCTGCCCCCCTCCCAACAGTGACTCAGCAGCTCAGTTCCCCTGCCTCGCCCTGACACCTGCGAGTCAGCAACTCCGCTTCTGCTTCCTCCCACCAGTAACTCAGCAGCTCCGCTTTTTCTGCTTCCTCCTCCCAGCAGTAACTCAGCAGCTCTGCTCCTGCTTCCTTCTCCCAGCAGTAACTCAGCAGCTCCACTTTTCCTGCTTCCTCCTCCCAGCAGTAACTCAGCAGGTCCGCTTTTCCTGCTTCCTCCACCCAGCAGTAACTAAGCAGCTCCGCTTTTCCCGCTTCTTCCTCCCAGCAGTAACTCAGCACCTCTGCTCCTGTTTCCTCCTCCCAGCAGTAACTCAGCAGCTCTGCTTCTCCTTTCTCCTCCCAGCAGTAACTCAGCAGCTCTGCTTTTCCTGCTTCCTCCTCCCAGCAGTAACTCAGCAGCTCTCTGCTTTTCCTGCTTCCTCCTCCCAGCAGTAACACAGCAGCTCCGCTTTTCCTGCTTCCTCCTCCCAGCAGTGACTCAGCAGCTCCGCTTCTCCTGCTTCCTCCTCCCAGCAGTGACTCAGCAGCTCCGCTTTTCCTGCTTCCTCCTCCCAGCAGTGACTCAGCAGCTCCGCTTCTCTGGATTCCTCCTCCCAGCAGTGACTCAGCACCTCCGCTTTTCCTGCTTCCTCCTCCCAGCAGTGACTCAGCAGCTCCGCTTCTCCTGCTTCCTTCTCCCAGCAGTGACTCAGCAGCCCAGCTTCTCCCGCTTCCTTCTCCCAGCAGTTTTTGTAGCAGCTCATCTTCTCCTGATGTTCTATTTTGTACATATATTGTGTAAAATGTTAAATTGATGGATTCATTCTGCTTTAAGAGTGTTATTTGGCAATTTGACTAGGACAGTGGACTCCAAACTGAAGCCCTTTGCATGCCTTTATTTGTCCCTTGGGGTACTGTTCCTCCTACTGATATGAAGCACTATTCCCTCCAATGACACCAATAACTAAGCACCCTTTCTTCCACTGACACCAACAATGGGGCAGTATTCCTTCTACTGACACCAGCGATAAGGCACTATTCCTCCCTCTGATACCAACGATGGGTACTATTCCTCCTACTGACACCAATGATTGGGAACTATTCCTATTACAGACATCAATGATGGGGAACTATTCCTTTTACAGACACCAATGATGGGGCACTTTTCCTCCCACTGATACCAATGACGGTCTACTATTCCTCCCACTAACACCAAAGATAGGGCACTAACCCCCCCCCCCCCCCTCTGAAACAACAATGTGGCATGTTTACCACCCCTCATGCAGGGATTTTAGGGTAAAGGTACAAATATGGTACATCTTTGAAGGGGTATTTGATCTAGGTTAGTGGTCTCCAAACTGTGGCCCTTTGCTTGCCTATATCCAGCCCTTGGGGCACTATTCCTCCCACTGTCAACAACAGTGGGGGCATAGTTCCTGCCACTGACACCGATGATAAGCGCTATACCTCCTACTGACACCAATGATGGGGACACTTTTCCTCCCATTAATACCAACAATGGGGCACTATTTCTCCCACTACCACCAACAATGGGGCACCATTCATCCCACTTCCATCAATGATGGGGCATTATTCCTCCCACTGACACCAGTGATGGGGCACTATTCCTCCCAATGACACCAATGATGGTGCACTATTCCTTCCATTGATACCAATGATGGGGCACTATTCCTCCCACTGATACCAATGATGGGACACCCTTCATCCCACTCTCACCAATGATGGGGCATTATTCATCCCACTACCACCAATAATAGGGCACTATTTCTCTTCCTACTGACCACAGGTGCTTTGTAATTTCTTATACTCCCACTGACCAGCAAATCTGAGTCATTGTCTACTCACATTGATGCCAGGGCCTTTTCTCCTGCCACTGGACATAATATGGCTCCCCTAAAGTACGAAGGACAATAAACATCCCTTTGGTTAGAGAATTTGAAGACCCTTGAACTAGGAGATAATAAGTCCAGGAAAATTGCCACCTTAAGGAGGATGAGTCAACAAGTTTGAGAGACCATGTGAAATGTCCATCTACCTTCAATCCAAAACTTGAGGAACACCAAGCTTTAGATGTCAAAAATTTGCAAAAAAAGATCCCTCTGTACTCTTCTCCTGATGACTGGCACAGACAGGAGTCATAGTGTAAGCAGTGAAGGTTGGAAATTGCTAGTGAAGCTTCTAAAGATCTTTATTGGGCAGCAGCAAATGTTATTTTAGCACGTGACTCTCCAGCCAACCAATAAGTAATATTAATAATTTTGGATATTTTTTTTTTAATTAAACGTTATAATACTCTCTGTATATAGCGTTGAAGGTTTATGTTATGTTGGTACACTTTTTAAATTTATCTAAAAATGTAGACTTAATGAAAACTTGAGTATAAAAAACAATAGAAAATAAAATCTGTCATTCCACATTAAAGTACATTTCAGGCTGTATTGTATATCAGACAATGTCATTTAAAATAATGCCGTCTGAAAAATTGTTTTCCCCAGCTGTTCTTCAAAACAACGAGATCCAGGGAATTGTTTAGAATTAATATAGATTGTATCACACTGAAGTATGAAAAGCTGAGTGACATTAAGCAAAGATCAGGATTAAAATATACTTGCATTTCTCCATTAAATTCTTGGATAGGGTTGAGCTCCAAAAAAGAAAAAATAATGGGTTTTGTTGGCATTGTAAAAAATTAAGGAAAAGCTCATGAATAAAACATCTGTTGTGCATATGAAGTCTGTTTTCTAGTATTACAAATTACATTTTTAGGGCATTTAGTAAAGAAAACAAATCCTATATTATCAAATTCTGAATGGTGATTGGGCCAGTCACACTGTTGTCATTCCCTACAATTAGAAAAATATGGGAACTCACAATGCGCATAAACCACAAATAAATATTAACTTTAAATTATGAATAATCAAAAAACTTAAAATTTGTCTGCAGATGTTAATTGGCCGCTGTCTTTTATTATTGGTCTTGGAATGACCTATTAAAATTATTACGCAACTTTAAAATTTAATAAATATAATGAATAATAAACATAATGGAAAATCTGAAAGCAGCCATATGCAACTTAGCCAGGATGGCTCACGTTGAGAGAGTAAACAGATAGCTTGTAACAAGCAATAGTACCCAACCACATAAACAAAGGTTCCTCAACAAGGGGCAGAGGGGGCAGGTTGATCTGGCTGTTAAGGCTTCAAACAACGTCTGTTAGTAACATTCATCTCTTCTTCTTGTGTATGTTCAGGACTGCCTTGACTCCATGTAGACCTCACCCCTAGAAGACCTCAACCCAAGATGACCTCACCCCAAGGTGATAGTAATAGCCCAACCACTATGGCTCAGATTGAGAGTATAAAGAGATAACTTGTAACATGCGATGTTTCCTTTCCTTCATTTTAATAGGTACACAACCACATGCCCAAAAATCCTCAACAAGGGACAGGTTGATCTCGTCGTTAAAGCTTCCAATGACTGGTGTTAGTAATGTTCATCTCTTCTTCTTATGTAGGTTCAGGATTGCCTTGGGGACTCCATGTAGACCTCAACCCAGGATTACCTCACCCCAAGGCCATAGTTGAAACCCAACCACTATGGCCTAAATTGAGACAACAAACAAATAGCTTGTACCAAGCATTAATCTCCTTCCTTCATTTCAGAATGTACCCAACCACATGAACATAGATCCTCAACAAGGGGCAGAGCGGGGCAAGTTGATTGTGCCTTCTAGGTGTCCAAGAACTGGTGTTAGTAACATTTATCTCTTCTTGTGTAAATTAGGGATTGCCTTGAGGACTCCATGTAGACCTCACCCCAAGAGGACCCTTAACCCAAGATGACTTCTCCCCCAAAATGATAGTTGGAGCCCAACCACTATGGCTCAAATTGAGAGAACAAACAGATTGCTTGTAACAATAAATAGTCCTCTTCCTTAATTTCAGAAGGTGCACAACCACAAGAAAAAAAGTCCTTAACAAGGAGCGGAAGGGGCAGGTTGATATTGCCATTAAAGCTTCCAACAAACTTTTGTTAGATTCATTCATCTTTTTTTCTTGTGTAGATTCAGGATTACCTTGAGGACTCCATGTAGACCTCACCCCAAGAAGACATCACCCTAAGATGGTAGTTGAAGCTCAACCA